GGGGGAGCCTGAGGCTGTTGAGGCTGCCTGTTGGGGGGGACTCGTCTGCAGGGTCGAAATCTGAGATAGAGGAGGAGGTAGCAGAACTGGGACTTACAGTGTCTGCAGTGGGGGGAGGGGAGTTTTGGAGAGGAGGCTGAAGTGTGCATAGAACAATGGGAGAAGGAGAAGTTGTAGAAGAGGCCGCAGATGCTAGCATGAGTGGAGGGTAGAGATTAGAGGGATTGCAGCTGAGGCAGAGGCGGGGATGTTCACGGAGGAGGGAAACGGACTGAACATAGGGAATCTCTACCCACTGTTTTGAATGCTCACAGAAATTATATAAGTCCCAAATAATATCAGGATTGAGGGACCCCTGGAGAGGCCACTGATTTTGGTTGTCTAAGGGGTATGTTGGCCAGTCTTGCGTGCAGAAACGAATTAGGTGTTTGGGTTTGATATCAGGGGAAAGAGAGAGTGTAGTGAAATTGTTTTAGAGGCATTTAAGAGGGGAATCGGCTGGCAGGGATGACGAGCCTCCCATGGTGAGACAGGGAGACTAAACAGGGCGTCCCCTGAAGAGTCGGCTGTCCAAGAAGTGTGGCTGTGGCAAAGCCTGTCATCACAGGGGTTTGGCACAACCAGGGTCCTCCTGGAAAACCAAGGGGGTCAAGGCACCTAGTGCAAGGATTTTTGGACCTGACAGAAAGCACTTGACTGGGCGGTGGGTGGGAGCGTGTTTGAGATTACTGCCGGTTTAATAGGGCTTACTGTGGGGCAACAAACAGGGAGCCTCCGAGGCTCCCTGTTACCCGACAGATATATGAGTCCTTCAGAATCTGCTGTGGGCCAGCAGACGTGGGACCCCCAGGGTCTGCTGCGGCCCGACAGCCGTGGTATTCCTGGTGGGGGGAGAATTTTACAGAAGCCGCTGTGGGTTAGCAGACGTGGGACCCCTGGGGCCCGCTGCAGCCCTGCAGCCACAGGAGTTTTAAGGTTTAAGAGAGATGAAAGAGAAGAGGAAGCCTTTAGGATCCGCTATGGCCGTGAAGGCCAAGGCGGGGTGTGTTCCCCCTCGCCCTGGGGCCGGAGGGGCTGCCGGACGATCAAGGGTCAGTTCCCCCCGGGGATCCCGGGCAAGTTTCAGGTTTTCGTGTCTGGGGAACTCACCTATCCAACGGTCTCTGGTGGATGCAGTTCACGTGTTCAAAACAGTGGGGAAGGTCCAGGAGTCCTGGAGTGGCCACTGGCGCCAGGTCGGGGATCCCACCTATGGGAATACACCCGCGCAAAGGCAAGGGAGCACCCGATCTGAGTCACGGCACCAATGAAAGAATTTCGGCACTAGTAATGACTCCACACCCGGCCAGGACCAAGAGATTTATTAAAGGGGCTGTTACAGAGAGGATCTGTAACAGAGAAAAAAAAGAAAAAGAAAAAGAGAGAGAATTGCAGGGAGAGGGCTGTATTTATTAGCCTGACAGGGGCCGGAAGGGGTCGTGCTATGTTTCTATTGGAGGAGCTGCATGGGAGCAGGGTGGGGCTGACGCCGTGTTATAGTCCTATTGGATGCATAACAAAGCTGGCTATGTTCTGGGAAAGGATTGGAGGCTTGCAGGTTTGAACTTCGCACACGTGGGGAATTGTGCACACAGAAGCCGGGACCTAGGGCCTTTGTTGTCTGGTGTGTCCTCACCATGCTCTGCGCCATTTTGGGAGCTGCCCCTCTGGTTGCTTCCAGCACCCTTCAACGGGGAGACCCTGGACTCGGGCCTCAGCCCTCCTGGCCGCCCGGCGGAGGCCCTGCTCACCCGTAGCAAACTCCATGTGGAACTCCTTCCAGAAGCTGCCACCCATCAGGGAGTGGCTGTTCAGGACCTCTCCATGCTCTCTAGCCAGGGCCCAGTAGATGGGGGCGATGGTGACCACCAGCACCCGCAGCAGAGGCCCTGGGAGGGGTGGGGCATGGAGGCCATGTTAGAGCTGGATCTTCGGGGCAGCCACGCTCCCACTCGAGGGCCCTCTGGGGCTCCCTATTGCCCAAGAAGAGCTCAGCCTCTTCCCTGCCTCGTGCCTACCTGCGCTTATTATCTGACCAGAACCTGGAACATGTCAGAGGCAAATGATCTACTTCATGGAGTAGTTGTAAAAATTAATCCAATAAATGTATGCAAAGGATCACCTGTAATGTGTTGATATCCAACTGGGTTCAACAGATACAGACTGAGGGCTACTGGACCACCTGGGAGCTTGGGATCCCACAGACTGTTGTCACATATGTGCGGGACTGAGTTGGAAATCAAGTTTCCTAACTCGCAGGTATCTTCCAGGAGAGCCTGAAGAAGAGGGACTGACCCAAAGCATTTGAAGAAAGAGCCCCAAACTGCCCGCCACACAGCTTCTCCGAGCATCTTGTGACGCCCAGCCCTCCCATGGGGCCAGGTGGGACCATGCCCTGGACATGGGGAACAGGCCCACTGCCCGCTGCTCTGATGCTAACGAAAGCCAGCCAAGCCCTCGTGCAGGGCTGAGGTCACGGGTGCTTCAGAGGAACGGCTATCAGGCAAGAGCCTGTGAGCGCTGCCCCTGCCCTGCTTTGGTCTCGGGACCCAGGAGGGGCAAGGTAGCAAGTCTACTCGGAGACAGTCACTGCGCAGACACCACGGGATGAATTCGTGGGCAAGGAGGGCTCTTGTCCTCAGGCTTATTTTTTTTCTTTCTCTCTCCTTCCTTCCCTCTCTCCCCCTTTCCCTCGCCTTCTCTTCCCTTCTTTCTCCCCTTTTCTCTTCCCCTCTATCATCCATGCCCCCTTCCCTCCCTCTCTCCATTCCTTCCTTGTTTTCCAGAGTGTTGCTCTGTTGTCCAGGTTGGAGTGCAGTAGTGTGATCATAGCTCATTGCAGCCTCCACCTCCTGGGTTCAGGCAGTTCTCCTGCCTCAGCCTCCTGCTATAACTCTGAAACTACAGGCACGTGCCATCATGTCTGGCTAACTTTATTTTTTGGTCGAGATGAAGTCCCACTATGTTGCCCACGCTAGTCTCAAACTGCTGGTCTCAAGGGATTCTCCCACCTCGGCCTCCCAAAGTGCCGGGATTACAGGTGTGAGCCGCTGTGCCCATCCTGGTCCTCCCGGTTTTCTAGCTAATGCAGCTCTCCACATTTTCCACTTCCTCAATTCTCTTAGCCCTGTCCTTAACAATGGAAAAAAAAACCCCACACAGGAGTCAGTGGTTTGGAAAATCCCTATCTGAGCTCCTGCATGCACATAACCCTAACCACTCAGCTCATTCTTGGTCTGGTTATAAATGCAGGGGTGATTTTATTTTGCAGGGAGGTTGAGTTGGAGAAGAAGTTGCCCACACCTAAGTCTACTTTGACTTGGATTCAGCTATCGGGGCTGTCAGACTAGCTCTGGCCATCAGATTCCTCTGGGTCAGGCATGTGCCACAGAGTCCCAGGTGGGCTGGGGCAATAGGCCCAGATGCAGGTGGCGCTCCAGCCCCCACTCGCCCACAGTTGCTGGGATGTGGCTGATGCTGCTCTGGAAGGTGCTGACCCTGGAGCGAGCCTCCAGCTGCATGCTGGTGTTGAGCAAGGCCACGCCAAATTCCTGCCCATTGATCACCCTGACCATGCTGCCCCGGCTCCCCTGGGGCTCCCCTGGGGTGGAGGGAAGGAAAAGAACAGCAGTGACACTTACGATCCAACCCTGGTACCCAGAGTACAAGTAGGTACTGTCGTCCTTCCCGTTTCATGAAAGAGTCAACAGAAGCTCAGAGAGGTAAAGTAACTTGTCCAAAGACACATAGTTAAGAGGATGGACTCAACACCCAGGGGATCCTGACTCCAAAAGAGAAGGGAGGACTGGGCATGGTGGCTCATGCTTGCCATCCCAGCACTTTGGGAGGCCGAGGCAGGAGGATCACTGGAGGCCAGGAATTCAAGACCAGCTTGAATGACATAGCAAGACCCAGTCTCTACAAAAATAAAAACATTAGCTGGGTGTGGTGAAGTGTGCCTGTAGTCCCAGCTACTTGGGAGGCTGAAGCAGAAGGATCCCGTGCGCCCAGAAGGTGGAGGCTGGGGTGAGCTGTGATCCTGCCACTGCACTCCAGCCTGGACAGCGGAGTGAGACCCTGACTCAATAAAAAGGCAAAGGGAGGTTGTCAGGAGGAGACCCGAGCTGGGCCGCGTATGGGCTTCTAATTCTGATGCTGCTACCACCGTCCTTGAAACCCGGCCACGTCAGCCCCCTTGAAACCACATCTGAGTTGGTTTACCTGTGGAATGAGGAGGTGGGACCACAGACACATGGGAGACCTGTGGGTGTCCTAGAATGCCAGGAGCCTGTGAAGGCAGGGCTGGCACCCTGGAGGAGCCAGGGCGTGGGGCCAGAAGCATGTGCCGTCCCCTGAACGACCCTCCCCATTTCATCAGTGGTGCTGGCCCGGCTGGTGCAAGCTGTGATCAGATGTTCCCCAGCGCTAATCAAATGGACGGCGTGGCTCAGAGGCGCATCCCCCCACTAATGGGCCAGCTGTCTTATTTAGCCAGATGGCATTCCGGGGGACAGGAGACAGGAGTGGGCCTGCCTCTCCACTCACCAGCTCTCAGGAGACATTAACAACAAATTGCCCATGATCTGTCAAAAAATAACATGTAACATGCAACGGCCAGGTTCCTTATGGGTATACGGGGGTGGTCTTGGAATCTAGGAAGCAGTGTCATTTCCTGCTGCCGGTAGCTGAGGTTTGATAAGAGACGTTGCCCAACTGGACTGCTTCTCATCAATATCCGCTCCTTTGGGGTTATTTGTGGGGGGCAGGGACAGGAGGAGGCCCATGAGGCTAGCCTTGACTTTTTGTTTTGTTTGCTTTTCATCATCCCTATTGTGAAACAAGAACTATACCCTATCTTTATTTATTTTGAGTTGGGGTCTTGCTCTGTTGCCCAGGCTAGAATGCAGTGGCATGATCATAGCTCATTGCAGCCTTAGCCTCCTAGGTTCAGGCGATCCTTCCACCTCAGCCTCCTGAGTAGCTGGGGCTACAGGCACATGTTACCACACCTGACTCATTTTTTCAATTTTTTGTAGAGTGCTCACTATGTTGCCCAGATTGGTCTTGAACTTCTGGGCTCAAGAGATCTTCCTGCCTCAGCCTCCCAAAGTGCTGAGATTACAGGTGTGTTTGGTCTGACCCAAAGGAGAAGAAAGCCGGTTGAGGAATCTGAGATGGCTGGGGTTCCTAAGACCAGCAAGCAATGTCCTTTCTGATCACCCTCCATGGCCAGCTAGTATGAGAAGCACTAATTCGGGGTACCTGCATGATCAATGTTTGTATACCTAACCCTGAATTGTACCCCCACATCTTTACAATAAGAAAAAGGAGCACTAATTCATAGACTTTCATGGCAGAGGATGCTCTTGTTTTTTTTGTTTTGTTTTTGTTTTTTTGAGTTGGGGTCTTGTTCTGTTGCCCAGACTAGAGAGCAGTGGCATGATCATGGCTCACCGCAGCCTCAAACTCTTGTGTTAAGTGATTCTCCCACCCCAGCCTCCCACATAACTGGGACAGGCAGACACAACCACACCTGGCTAATTTTTTGATTTTTTTGTCGAGATGAGGTCTCACTGTGTTGCCCAGGCTGGTCTCGAACTCCTGGGCTCAAAGGATCCTCCCACCTCGGTCTCCCAAAGTCGTGGGATTAGAGATGGGAGCCACCACGCCTGGCCCGCTCTTGTCTCATTCTGCCTACTTCATGGGGTTGTGGCGTCTCCCAACAGAGGACATGTGTTTGTGCCCGTTAAGCTGGAACAACCAGGGTTCCCTGTTCAAGACGAGCAGCAAACACTTAGCACCTCTGAGACTGTTTCCCCAACTATAAATGGGCAGGGTAGATCAGATGGCTCAAGAGCACCTCCCCAGTGGTTCATTCTGAGTTTGTGGCTAAGCAGAGAACTGGGGAGCTGGCAGAGCAGGGGGGCCAGGTCTCCCACACCCCAAATGACACCTGATCCCCATCGGCAGCAGGTCCTGTCTCTGTCCACAGAGGTCTGGGCAGGGACGACGCTGTACCTCTCACTGCCAGGAGCGCCTGGGTTGTGGCAGAGCCCGGGAGGTTGTGAGCCACACACTCGTATGCGCCCGCGTACCCTGCTTCCATGTGCTCCAGCCACAGGCTCCCATCGGGCAGGGTCCTGAGCCGCCGGCTGGCCCGCAAGGGTCTGCCTGCCCGTAGCCACTCGATGGTGGGGGCCGGCTCCCCTGTGGCCTGGCACCTCAGGGCCACGTCATCCCCGGATCTCACTGTCGAGTCCTGAGGCACCACCTGGAACACGGGGGCATCTGTGGGAGGTGCAGGGCAGCATTTAGGAACATTTTTATTATTTGTGCATATTCAAGACATGTATTCGTTTGGAAACACTGGGTAACACCCAGAGGCCGGAAGGAGAATACAAGAACCACACAGGGTCGAGCCGGTTACCATTCCTGCAAATTTCCCTCTAGACATCATCTGCTTCCTCATAGAAATATAATCATATTGCACTTGCCTGCTTTTTTTCCTTTTCTTTTTTTTGAGTTGGAATCTCACTGCGTTGTCCAGGCTGGAGTGCAGTGGCACACTCATAGCCATCCCAGCATTGATCTGCTGGGCTCAGCTGACCCTTCCACCTCAACCTTCCAAGTAGCCAGAACTACAGGCGCACACTACCATGCCCAGCTAATTTTTTTATTTATTGCAGGGGTGAGGTCTCACCAAGTTGCCCAGGCTGTTCTCAAACCCGCAGGCTCCCAAAGTGCTGAGATTACAGGTTTGAGCCACCATGTCCAGCCTTCTTTTCTGAGTCAGGGTCTCACACTGTCACCCAGGCTGGAGTACAGTGACGTGATCATGGCTCACTGCAGCCTAGACTTCCTGGGCTCAGGCGATTCTCCTGCCTCAGCCTCCCTAGCAGTTGGGACCACCATGTCTGGCTAAATTGTTGATTTTTTTGTAGAGACAAGGTCTCGCTATGTTGCCCAGACCGGTCTTGAACTCCGGGCTCCAGGGATCCTCCCACCTCAGCCTCCCAGAGTGCTGGGATGACAGGCGTGAGTGCCCGCGCCTGGCCTCTGGCTGTATCTGTACTCCACATAAACCATAGCTACCTTTCCATGATGCATGCCACTACATGCTTGTTTTTGGTGGCTGTGCGGCAATCCACCGCTTGGCTCTCTTGGGACTTACTAGATCAAACCTCTCACGGGACAGTTAGGTTGTTTTCACGAAGAGGAGCCGCTTGTCCAAACTGTCTCTACCTGATGTGATGGGCAGACCCAGGCTCTGCCACCAACTGTGAGTGACGGTCCCCAGGTCGCTCCCTGACCCTCAGTTTTCTCACCTGAAAGAGGGGGGTGGTCCTCCCTGTTCACTGAGCCCCCACAGGATGGCTGAAATGCCGAAGACAGGTGATGCCCATGCCGGGGAGGCTGTGGCCCCAGCAGGGCCCTCGCGCTGTGGTGAACGCGCTGCCGGGTGCCGTCACAGTGGGGCGCCGTGGGCCCGAGTGTGCTTGTCTGGTGGACACAGACTGCCACGTAGGTGGTGGCTTTGCACAGCAGGAGGGGCTCCTCTCACAGGTGGAGAGGCCAGAGCCCAGCACGGCCTCTCTGAGCTGAAGGCAAGCGGTGCTCTCTCTAGAGCTTCCGGGGAGAGCCTGTGCTTCCTCCTCCAGCTTTCGCCGGTTGCCCGGGCGCCTTGGCTGGAGTCTGCGTCACTCCACCCTCTGCCTCCCTCTCCCCTTCGTGCGTGCGTGTGTGCGTGTGCGTGCGTGTGTCTAATTTCCCTCTGGCTTCCTTTTCTAAGAAGACTTATGATAGCACTTAGGGCTCACCAAGATAATCTCATCACAAGATTAAATACCCAGCCTCGGCAACATAGTAAGACCTTGTCTCTACAAAAAATTTTAAAAACGAACTGGGCGTGGTGGTGCACGCCTATATTCCCAGCGACTTGGGAGGCTAAGGTGAGAGGATTGACTGAGCCCAGGAGTTTGAGGCTGTGGTGAACTGTGATCGTGCCATTGCACTCCAGTCTGGGAGACACGGTGAGACACTGACTCAAAAAAAAAAAAAAAGAAATCCTTAAACCCATTTATTTGCAAAGATTCTTCTTCCAAACAGTCACATCATGGGTTTTGGGGGATTAGGATGGACACACACACACACACACACACACACACACACACACACATATATTTAATTTTAAAAAATGTGGGTTTTTTTTGTTTTTTGAGGAAAGGTCTCACTCTGTCACCAGGCTAGAGTGGTGCAGTGGCACAGTCATAGCTCACAGCAGCCTCAAACTCCTGGCTCAAGTAATCTTCCTGCCTCAGCCTCCCAAGTAGCCGGGACTACAGGCACATGTCACTATGCATGGCTAATTTTTCTTTTTTTGTAGGGATGGGACCTTGCTATGCTGCCCAGGCCACAGCTTTGTCTTTGGGAGCCATTTGTCAGTCTGCCACAGCCAGTGTCTCCTAAAGCTGAGCACACGTGCACTACATGACAGCAGTTCCACTCCTGGACCATACCCTAACACAGTTGCATATGCATGCTCACTAAAGGTTAGGCGAAGGTAGTCATGGCCACACCATTCTTCATTGCCCCAAACTAGAACTGACTGACAGGGGAATACACAGAGAAATTGTGGTATACCCATGCAGTAGAAAACCACACAGCAATGAGAACCAATGAACTAATTCTAAGTGAACAATATGGACGGATGCCACAAACAATGTTGTGCAAGAGAAGACTAACACAAGAGCACATTTGCTCTCATTCAATTTAAAGAAAGGTCTAAAAAGCAAGAGCAAGACATCCACAGCTGCGGCTGAGTGAAGATGTCAGCCCACCTGCCCTCCAAAATACAAGTATAAGATTCAACAAAATGTCCCCAAATGATTTCAGAGTTCTGGGAATCAACTAAAGGCAAATGACCAACTGCACATCAGGTATCCATAAAAAACTTCTAGAAGCTGGGCATAGCCTGTAGTCCCAGCTACTAGGGAGGCCAAGGTGGGAGGATTACTTAAACCCAGGAGGTCGAGACCAGCCTGGGCAACATAGCGAGACCTTGTCTCTTAAAAAAAAAAGGGGGGGGGCTGAGCACAGTGGCTCAGGCTATAATCCCAGCACTCTGGGAGGCCAAGGCAGGAGGATCACTTGAGCCTAGGAGAAAAAAATCAATAAATGAGTTGGGCATGGTGGTGTGTGCCTGTAGTCCCAGCTATTCGGGAGGCTGAGGTGAGAGGTAGGGGCTGTGGTGAGCCATGATCGTGTCACTGCCCTCAGCCTGGGTGACAGAGTGAATCTTCGACTCAAAAAAAACAGAGTGAGACCTCAACCCACCCTCAAAAAAGAGCCCAGGCAGTTTTCGAGTGTGCCTCAGTTCGATTCTCCTTCGCTCCCCCAGGACTCGCTGCACAGGTGTGCATGACCCACATCAGCCGGGGGCCATGGTGAACTGATCCAGTCTTTCTAGGACTCCCTCATCTCCCAAGTTTCCTTCAATAAACGTCTGCTGGTCCTCTGGTCTCCTCCGGGGCCACACCTTGGGCTAACAGAGCTGCCCTCTCCATTTGTTTCTTGCCAGTTTTGCTGCTTTTTCCTGACAATCTTGGCAGGAAATGCTTTCACCCTGTCCTGCAAAGGAGTCATACCTACCAGGAGGGCTAAAGTGAAAGGACTGACATTACCAGCTGCTGGCAAGGATGTGGAGAAGCCAAAACCTCACCCACTGCCGAAAGGAGAGAGAAACGGGCCACGCTGCTCGGTGGTTTCTTAAAAAGCGAGACATACACTCGCCACATAATTCAGCAACTACGCTTCTAGGATTCTAACCCCAGAGAAAACATATAGCCACAAAAGCAAGTGCGCACAAATATTCATGGCTGCATTATTTGCAATAGTCAAAAATTAGAAATAATCAAGGCTGGGCACAGTGGCCTATAATCCCAGAACTTTGGGAAGTCGAGATGAGAGGATTGCCTGAGACCACAGGTTCGAGACCAGCCTAGGCAACTTGGTGAGACCTCATCTCTACAATAAATTTTTTTAAAAATTTGCCGGGCATAGTGGCGTGTGCCTGTAGTTCCAGCTACTTGGAAGGCTGAGGTGGAAAGATCGCTGGAGCCCAGCAGGTGAAGACCTTGGTGGCCATGAGCGTGCCACTACACTCCAGTCTGGGCGACAGAGTGAGACTCCAACTAAAAATAAATAATTAATTAATTAAATAAAAGAAATAACCCAGTAATAACATCCAGCTATCAAGGAACAGGGCAAACAAAATATGGTCTAACCAAACAACGAAGTACTATTCAGCCATGAGAAGGAATGAATGACTGATATATAGCATAACACGAACTCAAGGACACTGAAGAAGTGAAAGAAGCTGGAACCAGAAGTCTCCATTTAATTCCATTCATGTGAAATTCCCAGGAAAGCTGCATCTCCAGAGACAGAAGGCAGATCAGTGTCTGCCTGGGGCTGGTGGGAGCCAGGATCGACCACAGGCAGAGAGAACTTTCTGGAGTAACGGAAATTGTCTACACATGGGTTGCGGCGATGGCGGTAAAACCATAAATGGACTAAGAATCTTGAAAACTGCATACTTAGATGGGGTGGATTTTTTTACTTTTAAAAATCGTGGCTGGGTTCGGTGGCTCAGCCTGTCATCCCAGCACTTTGGGAGGCCGAGGCGAGTGGATTGCCTGTGCCCGCGGGTTCGAGACCAGCCTGGGCAACCTGGCAAGACCTCATCTCTACAATAAGTCAAAAATTAACTGGGTGTGGTAGGGCATGCCTGTAGTTCCGACTCCTTAGAGGGCGCAGGCAGAAGGATTGCCAGAGCCCAGTGGGTCGACACTGGGGTGGCCGTGAGTGTGCCACTGCACTCCAGCCTGGGCGATGGAGTGAGACTCCAACTCAAAAAAAGAAAAAAAAGAATGCCAAGTCCCCGGCCCTGTCTCTCTGCTCTCTGAGCCCCACCAGTCGCCGCTGCCCCGAGCGCCACCTCCCGTGTCCCCACCACCTGCAGAGGAGTGGGGAGGCCGCGATTCACTCTGAAGTACTAGGACCACCACCTTCTCTGCCGTGCCCATCTCGTTCTCTGCCAGGCACTGGTACTGTCCCGCGTCATCCCTCTGTGGGTGGGCATGGGAGGGGAGCATGGCGTTCAGAGAGGAAGACCAGAGCTCAGACAGTTGGGCAGGGGACCACGACCCAGCCGGCCAGCAAGGGCTTAGAGCTTCGACCGCCCGGAGACATCCTGTTCCCCACAGCGCACCAGAGGGGCAGAAGACATGCAGAGAGACTCACACCCGGGACGGGTAGGGACTGAAGTCCTGCATCGTTGCCACTTGCTGGAACAAGCATGATTTAGATCCACTCCTGGAAAACTGTATCTATTGAAGTCTTAACTGTGCCATGGCATATTATTTGGGACTTCTCCCAAAAAAAAGGGTTCCATGGTCAAATACGTTTGGGAATCACTGACTTAAACAACACATCTCTGAGCTGTAGGACTTGTCAGGGCATTTGCTATGCCAGTGTGCACTGTGCGTCTTTCAGAAGGGAGATGGTTTGCAGCATTTCTCTAACCAAGGTGGCCAAGGAAGCTCGTTCCCTGGATTTCCTGACCTTGGATACACGATGGGACTCGGGAAGGGCACAGGCTGCATCACTTCTGCGTGGCAGCGCCACCATGAGATGGGGCTGGGGCAGTCTGAGGCCACCGTGCACACCTGGAAGATGATATCTGGAGGCCTGTTCCCAAGGGACCACTGGGGACAGCACAGTACAAAGTTAAGAGTGTAGATTTGAGGTCAGACCAACATGGAACTGAGTTCCAGCCCTACTGTCTACTGCACTGAACCCTTTATAAGACCATGCATTTCCAGGTCTCTGGAGCCTCAGTTTCCCCATCTCTAAAATGGGAATGATAACTGCTAGGATCGTCATGAGCGTTATCAACGCCAGTTAAGCGCACGGCATGGTACTCACGGTCCGTACTCGGGTAACAGTGGCCTTTGCTGCAGTTGCTACTCTTACTGTGGCTTTATTATTAGGTCCCATGATTATTACTACCCAGCGAAGGCTCCCAGGTGGGTGGGACCAAGGACCCTACGCCATGAACTTGAGCCAAGACTGACTTGTGGATGGCTGCACAATCACTGGAACTTGGGACACTGTGTGGGAGGTGAGCAGGGCAGCCCCAGTGCCCAGGGCTTAGGAAGCAGCAGGAGTCAGGAGACCTGGGGTGGGGTCCTGCCTCCCACACTTTCTGGCTGCGGGCCTCCCTGAGCCTCAGTGTCTTCATCTGCAAAATGGGGGCACTACTACCTGCCTACTGTGCCCCTGGGGCGGTTAGTAGCCTTTGGAGGGGGGGCATTATTCACAGATCATTCTTTTTTGTTGTTGTAGTTATTGTTTTTGAGTCAGAGTCTCACTCTGTTGCCCAGGCTGAAGTGCAATGGTACAATCACAGCTCACAACAGCCTTGACCTCCTGGGCTTAGGCGATCCTCCTGCCTCGGCCTTTTGAGGAGCTGGGGCTTCAGGCACATGCCACCATGCCCAGCTTGTTTTACTTACTTATGTATTTATTTTTGTAGAGACTAGGTCTCACTATGTTGCCCAGGCTCAAACTCCTGGGCTCAAGCAATCCTCCTGCCTTGGCCTCCCAAAGTGCTAGGATTACAGGTGTGAGCCACAGCACCTGGCCTACAGACCACTCTTCTTATTTTTTAATTTTAATTTTTTTAGTAAGGAGAAATTTATTAGGAGATAGGAAAGCCCCCAGCAGAGGGAGGGGTCCTGAAAGAGGGTTGCCCTGTTTTAATTTTTTTTTTAAGTCGGGACCTCATTCTGTTGGCCAGGCTGGAGTGCAGTGGCATGATCACAGCTCACCGCAGCCTCGACCTCCTGGGCTCAGGCAAGCCTTCTGCCTCAGCCTCCCAAGTAGCTGGGACTGCAGGTGCGCACCACCATGCCCAGCCAATTTTTTATTTTTGTAGAGACAAGGTCTCTGAAGCTCAGGCCGCAGACCACTCTTAAATACCTGGTGTGAGTCATCTCACTGATTTCTCACTATAAACCTATGAGGCAGAAGTAATTCTTAGTCTCACTGAATGGGTGGGATGACTGGTCGCCGGCTGCAGGTCACCCCGGGTGGCAGCAGGAGGGGGTCTGGGCTATGGGCAGGGAAGGGCTTTGTACACTGTAAAGGGGGGTGCCAACCTGAAGAACCTTCCCGAGCAGTCAGAAAAAGCATAGGGTTGCCCTGCACACCCCCCTCCCCCCAGCCCTCCAGGGTGTCCTGCCTTGCCTCGGTCTTGCAGATGGCCAGCAAGCCATTCTGCAGCCGGTGCCGGAGACGGCTGCCCCGCAACAAAAGGCCATCTTTGATCCAGCGGATGTCAGGTGCTGGGTCTCCACGGGCCTCACAGTCTAGCTGGATGCTGGCCCCCACGGGTTCCACCAGGTAGGAGAAAGCCTCCCCCTGCAGGACAGGAGCCTCTGCATGGGGATGGCACCAAACGAGGGATCGGGAAAGAAGTCACCTTCAGCCTCAACATCCTTTAAGCCTGTTCTCGAAGGCCTACCCAACAAAGGCTCCGGCTAGCCCAGCAGAGTTGTGCATAGTCAATGCATGAGGGACGGCAAGCCATGTCCGTGTCATGGGTCAAGTCACAGAGACTGGCAGTGGCTACCAGGAACTGTGCTGAGAAGGATTTGAAGCTGAGTGAGAATGGAGCTGTGATCTATGAGTGATGCCTGAGACGGGCGCAGGTGGGAGTGCAGTGGTACATGTGTCATGCATTCATTCTCACAGATGGATTACCCCAACTGCGGCATATCTAAGGACGTAGATTTGGAAATCAAGAAGTATAAGGACACCTCTGTTGGACACAGCCACCTGAAAAGATTCATGTGACTCTCAAAACACTCTTGGATGCCCTGTGCCGGCTTCCGTCCTTCCTAGTTTCCAGGCCAAATCTACCCAAATCTGAAGCTATGTCCTGGTGCCCGGGGCTGTGCTTTCCCTCCAGCCACACCCAGCCATCCTGAAGCTGAACATCTAAATCATAGTGTCACCAAGGGTGACTGTGTTGCTCTGGGGGGGTGGGCAGAGCACGGGACAACCGGAAGCCTGCAGGCACACCCTGGCCCCCATGCCCTCCTCCCCCCTCGGCACCCTTCCACTGCAGACCAGTTGGTCAGATTCCAATTCCACCTGCAGCCAGAGTGGTCTGCAGACCATAGAAAATACTGATGCCCGGGCCACCTGCCCCCAGAGTGGCTGGTTACTGAGTTGGAGGCAGAGCCTGGGCATCTGCATTGTATAAAGTGCTCTAGGGGATTCCAAAGCACGGCCAGAGTGGAGAGCCGTGAGCTGAGGACAAGCTGCCGGGCTCTTAGGACACCCACAGGACGGGCTCCACAGAGGCCCAGACGGGACGCCTACCCTTCACATGGACGAAGCTGACCGCCTGCACGCGGCCCACTCTGTTCTTGGCCCAGCAGACGTAGGTCCCACTGTCCTCTCTGGTGACCGCCGCCCGCTGCAGTGTGCTGGCCCCATCCTGTGCGGACACACCCACTGCAGAGGAGACGGACATGCCCCGGGGGCACTGTGAGTCCAGGTGCAGGGAGCTTCTGCCCTAAATGCCCCACTTGGGCCTGGGTACAAGCAGGTGCTTAATAAGGACACAGAAATGGAAGGGCGTGTCCCAGGAGGCACGGGCCACATTGGAGGTTGTGGTTAAAGACCCTGCATTTTGTCATTTTCAGGTGCACACCAAATTAGATGAGTGGTCAAGACTGGGTCTTTTGGGGCTTTTTTTTTTCTGAGTCAGGGTCTCACTCTGCTGCCCAGGCCGAAGTGCAGTGACATGATCACGGCTCATCAAAGCCTGCACCTCTTAGGCTCAGGCGATCCTTCTACCTCAGCCTCCCAAGTAGCTGGGACTGCAGGTGTGCACCACCACACCTGGCTAGTTTTTAAGGTTTTTTTTTGTAGAGATGAGGTCTCGCTATGTTTCCTAGACTGGTCTTAAACCCCTGGACTCAAGTAATCCTCCTGAATCAGCCTCCCAAAGTGCTGGGGTTATAGGAGTGAGCCACTGCGCCTGGTCAGCAAGCATTGATTGAGCACTTACTGTGTACTCCACAGCCCCTGCGGCTCCCTAGACATAACCCAGATACCAGGGGGCAGGACAGAAACCCTCAGGGAAAGAGGTTTCCAGAGGGCCCCATGAAGGGACCAGCACCTCTGGGCTAGGACACAGGCCTCCACCTCCTGGCCTTCAGGCCTCTGGGTTGAGTCGTCTTCTTGCAGGGGTCTCTTGCCAGCTCTGATAGGCAGCTTGTCACCTGGGTTTGCCCTGTCCCCCTGCACAGGGCATCTGGAGATCCAGAAGCCAAGGTCCTGCCCACTAGGTTGGGTCTCTCCACCCGCCCACCCTCCTCGGGGCCTCTGTTTCACCCGCCTCCGGCAGGCCTGGACCTGTGACTGACCGGTCATTGATGGTCCAGCGGAGGCGAGGGGTGGGGCTGCCCCGGGCTGCGCAGCGAAGCCACAGTGGGTCCCCAAGGCGCAGGCCGCGGTCCCCAGGCAGGGCGGTGAACACAGGCAGCGCCAGGACGGTGAGGTGCACACGGCGGTGGGCCCAGCTCACGGCATTCTCCACCATGCAGGCATAGGTGCCGGCATCCCGGCCCTATGGGCAAAGGGAGGTCAGCTGGGAACCACCCTCCACCCCTGCCCAGGCAGGAATGCCCTGGGAGCCATTGCCCTGCGGGCACTCACAGAGCATCCGGCCCAGAGATGTGCAGTGACTTGCCCAAGGTCACACAGCTGGCAGACAGGCGGTCGTTCCCCCTCCCCTCTCTCCAACTCTGGCACTTTCTGCAGCTGTCATGGGCTCTGCCCCTTCATAATCTAAGGCCTGATTGCATGATTGTGACAGGAACCGTTTAGTGAGCATCTACTGTGTGCCGGGCCCTGTGCTCACAACTTGGCCTTCACCAGCTCGTCCGAGCTGGAATTGCCTTGAGGAAGTCCTACTTCTGAAGCCTTTACAGAGAAGGCCGGCAGAGCCTCTGAGAGGCAGCTTCGGGCGCAATTAAGCAGGCCAGGGGCACTCACCCCTGCACTGCCTGGCTCCCTGGGTGGCAGAGACCCCGGGACCCTCCAGGTATGCGTCCTACTGAGCTCATGGGAGAGGAGCTCATTATGTAACTGGGGGGAATGGGAGGGAGACAGGAGGGGCCCACCCATATGCCTGGCCAAACACCGCCTCCAAACCAGGGAGGGCAGTGAATGTCAGCGTGTGGTTAAGAATAACGGGTATATTTTGGGGACACAAAGCTGTCGCCACGTCCCCCCTAAATCTGGGCTCTGCCTCTTGGGAACGGCATATCTGGGGACAGTTATGCACATTCGGAACCCTGGTATCCTCATCCATATTCAGGATAAGTCTTATCCCCCAGGTTCCTGGGACCCCAAGGATGTCCAGTGCTCAGCACAGAGCAGGAGAGGCAGGGTCTCCACACAGTGCCATCTGCCGTCCCTTGCTGTGCCCTGCAGCCGGCGCCTCACCTCCAAGTTCTTCACCAGCAGGTCCCCTGAAGACTGGATGTTGAACTTCCTCTCGGCCCCAGACAGGGGCTGGCCGTCCTTGTCCCAGGTGATGTGCGGGTCGGGACTGCCCCTGGCCGTGCAGGGCAGGAGGGCAAGGGAGCCTTCGGTGGAGGCCAGGTCAGGGAGGCTGGCCTCGATCACAGGCGGGGCTGCAGGCAAAGAGAGGCCCACTCGGGACTGGGGCTGGAGGAGGGCCCCCCCCGCCTCTGTGTCCCGTCCCCTTGGCCTTCCCTGCCTTCCGCTTCCCCACCACTTCAGGTCAGAGGTCACTGCCTGTGGTCAGGACGATGTGGGAACTCTGAGTTTGGTGAGGCTGTGACAGGGTGAGCTCTTGCACACATGTATACACACACACACCCCAAAAGCTGCAGGACAGAGGCCTTGGGCAGGCTCCACTTGGGCATGAGACCTCATGACGGTCCCCAGGGTCCCAAGCAGACCTGTCACCCAGCCTTCCCTGGGCAGCCACACTGGGGACAGAGTGAGTGTCCCTGGCTGGCCAGCTGGGAGTCTGGCTGGCCTGATGACTGGCTGTGCTCCTGGCCACAGGGAACAGGGACGAGCTGTACAAGGAGGCTCGGAGCCTCTCTGAGTTCACAGTCAGAGTCCAACCCCAGTGCCGCACAGCAGCCTGCGGGGATGGCCACCAGATGACCACAAAGCAGGTCCCATGGGTCACCTCACGACAGGCCCATGCCGAACAGTCCCAGCAAACTTCACAGACTGTGGTCAGTGATGGCCTTTGTCTTTGTCTTTGGTGAAACGATTCCTTCCTTGATTCCTTCCTTCCTCCCTCCTTCCCTCTTTTTCTTTTTAGAGACGAGGGCTCATTATGTTGCCCAGGCTGGTCTCCAATTCCTGGACTCGAGCAATCCTCTCACCTCAGCCTCCAAATTGCCGGGATGACAGGCACGAGCCACTGTACCAAGCATGCCCCTTAATTTGGAGACGATGACGGATCAAACTGAGGGAAGGATGTGTCGAATTGTGTGGGTGCAGGAAAGGCCAGAGACCACTGCCACGGCTGGACACCAGAGTGAACAGAGCGAATCGAGTGTCTCGGTGGGGCCAGAGGGAAGGCAGAGGGGACAAGAGGCTGTGTTTGAAGCGAGACCTCAGGTGCAAGGCGAGAGGCGGGTTTCCTTCATTCCTTCCAGGACCACGTGCCCAGCCAAGCGGGCGGGGGTGGGGCGATGGGAGGAAGGCATGCAGGGATGGGCCCTGCCACGGTCGGGGAAGGGGGAAGCTTGAAGATGCCTGGAAGCCCCGTGGTCACTTGGGGTCCCCAGGCACCACCAGCCGCGTTTTCCCCATGGCGCTGCCTGCGCTGTTCTGGGCGATGCAGAAATGGTTCCCAGCATCCTTGGGGCGGGCGTGGGCGATGTGCAGCTCCCCACTGGGTAGGACCCGGGCACCTGGATGTGGGGGAAGGAAACCAGACCTCGGACATCCCCCGGCCGGCCATCACCTGGTGGGGGGGGTGGAGGGCCCGAGGAGGGAAGGGGGCAGCTGGCTCCTCTGACAGGCAGAAGATGACTTGCTGGGGCTGCAGAGTGACCCAGTGATCGGAGGAGCCCGGAAACCTGGCCTGGAGACCAGCCCAGCTGCCTCCTGCCCCCTGCCCCCCCCACTCAGCCACCAAGTGAGAGCTCAGAGAGAATCTCAGGCGTTGGTGACGGCGGAAGGGAGGGGGGAGGCGGGGGAGGGCGTCTGGGCAGGCCAGAGGCCTTCTGGGACCAGGCGCAGGTCTGCAGAGTCCCCTGGGGCAGAAAGGGGGAGCCTCAGGCCCCACGTCTTCCCCTCCCCCAGGCTGGCTGGCAGGGAGACTCACGTGCAGGGACGCTGAGCCCTTCGCTCTGCCAGGTGATGGCCGGCGGGGGATGCCCGAGGCCTCACAGGGCAGCAGTACCTCCTCCTCCACCCCCGCCCAAACCACACTGGGCAGGGGCTTCACCACGGGGGAGGCTGCGAGGACAGGGGTGCAGAGGCCATGGGGGTGCCTTCAACACCAGCTCCTCCAACCAGGGGACCTCTGAGCATCAGAGAGAGAGGCCTCTAAAGGGAACAGGGAAGCCTGCGTGCGGTGGCTTATGCCTATAATCCCAGCACTTTGGGAGGCCAGGGCAGGAGGACTCTTGAGCCCAGCAGTTCGAGAACAGCCTGGGCAGCATGGCAAGACTTCACCTCTACCACAAAATTTTAAAAAATTCGACAGGCGTGGTGGCACACGCGCGTCCCAGCGGCTCGGGAGGCTGAGGAGGGAGGATTGCCTGAGCCCAGGAGGTGGAGGCTGTGGTGAGCTGTGACTGTGCCACTGCCCTCCAGCCTGGGCAACAGAGTGAGACCCTGACTCAAAAAATAAAATAACATAAATAAATAAAACAGAGGGAACAGGGAGTTCTGGAAACCTTGCATGGAGACTGCTTCTCGCTCCCAGAGGATCCCACTGGAGGCAGGTCAGGCATCTGGGACTGGGGCCTCAGTTCCATCCCGAGCCCCACCTGCCTCTGGCTCCCACCTGCTCCCCCGACCCTGGGGCCATGGACCCTTACCTTGCACAGTGAGGACCACGTGCTTGTGGGCCACGCCGAGTTGAGGGCTGTGCAGGTGTAGCCGCCAATGTGGATAGGCAGGGTGTGCCCGATCTCCAGGGCGCCTGTGGGCCAAGCAGTCATGGAGGGCATGAGGGCGAGGGGGTCAGGGACAGAGGGCCCGGGGATGGGCGCGGCATACCCGGCTGGCATACCCCCCTCCAACGTCGGTGTGTGCCACTCAGCCTGCCTCGCCTGCCCGCTTGTACGTGGTATGAGAGGGTCAGACGGCGTGGGAGCCTAGGTTCTAGGCCTGCCTCTGCTCCCAGCCCAAAGCATAATCATGCACGAGTTCCTTTTACTTCCTGGGTCAGAGAGGGCGAGGGCGTTCTCCCAGGTCACCCAGTGTGGGAACGGCAGAGCCAGGCCAGAACCTTCCCCCTTGCCTTCGCCCACCCTCCTAGGTCCCCAGTGGAGCGACTGGGGCTTCCCCGAACCTACCGGAAGGTGAGCCTTGGCAGCCACTTCCCTGCGGCCCCAGCTGGGCACGGCCGGGGCCGGCACGCCTGTGCTGTGGCATGTGAGCACAGCCGTCTGTTGAACCCGGGACTCTAATGAGAGAGATAGAGAGCACAAAGAGCCAGGTCCGATGCAAACACACGAGGGTCTTTATTCAGGCTCGAGTCTGGACTCACACCCGAAGCAGCAGCTTCAGGGACAAGAGCCCCGATTCATAATGGCAAGCAGTTTTTATGCACAATTACAGAGGGAGGGGAAAGAACTCCAAACTTGATTTTACATGATTGGGTAATTTCTCCTAATGGGTACGGGAACACTTGGTATTGGTGGGTGCTGCCCATGATTGACAGAAACCCACGTAATGGGCCGAGTGGAATGTTAGATAAGTTAGGTCCATGCAGTCCCTGCGTATGAAGTAACCTGAGCCGGCAGGCAAAGGGTTACATTAGCCCTTTAAGTTTCCATCCCAAGGTATGCTTAGGAAAGCTTGTTTGCTTAACATTTACATAACATAACATGGTCATTATGGGACACAAAAGCCAAACTTAACAAAGTTTTAAATATGATGCTGCAACATACAGTGATGTGGGGGTAGAAATCATATACTAATTCTGGGATTTATAAATATCACAAGCTTATTATAGCA